AAAAAAAAAAAAAAAAAAAAAAAAAAAAAAAAAAAAAAAAAAAAAAAAAAAAAAAAAAAAAAAAAAAACAATTTAAAATTCTCGAGCAGTTTAAAACATGCCAACGCAACAATGCTGGTGCATAAAAGCACTTGGGCATGTATATACTAGATATATTTAATGTCGCTTTGACGTAGTAACTGGCTCGGCAATTTTTTTTTTTATCCACCATTAGCGTCTCGACTATTTTTACGCTGCTCCGTCTATATACATGCAGGCGCTCGATGCAAAGTTTTGTGAATCACCTCACTCCCTTAGATCCGACAAATAGAAAGATAATTGATAAAAAAATGGATAAAGGAAGAAAAAAAAATAATGACTCGTGTACCTATACCAAGAGCGCGGACGAGCGCAAGGTATATGTAAAGGATAGTTACCTTTTCGCGTGAAATCTCGTATCGGGGCAGAGCTGCTTTCGCGATTTCGCGCAAACGCCTTGGACTGCCTAATTGGTTCCGGACGGGGATCCCGGCCAATTAGCCGAGGGTGGCTGCATCTCTACCCATAAAAATTATTCAGAGCGCAAAAGCCCAAGTGCACCTCCCATACAATTAAAATACACACTGCAGCGTCGTCTCACTTGGCGCGCAATCAGTTCGGAAGAAGCCCCCGGGAGCATCATTTCACCGTGATTTCACTGTGACGTATTTTCTTTCCTCGGCAGTGCCATCGCCATCACTCGCTAGCTGCGTTTATCGTCGCCGAGTCGCGTTGCACCTTTGAGCGATACATACACCAAATAAATTTTCTTGTCCGCGACGAAAAGATGCGACATCCCTTTCTCCATATTATGCTCTTGTCACCGCTCCAGTTGTCGACTGTATACTCAGGGGGTCGGGGAATCACCAATGAACGAGAAATGGAACGAGTTAGTCAACACGTTGGACTAGTCGAGCTCGAGTGCATTTTACAGATGCGTGAGGTATATAGGTAAGTATACTTATACACACCGAGGCTCTCTTGCGCTTACCCATTATATGTATATAGCCGCCGAACGGCCTTGCCTCCTATCTCCCGCAGCTATACCTATATGTATATAGGAGGTGAATAGAAAATAAAGAGAAGCGGAGATCTATTATATTATATTATACACTGCAGTGCCCATATCGTGTGCTGCAGCTGCAGTGTGTGTGGGTGTCGCTTGTCTGCCTGGAAAAGCACCTTTTACCTCTCATACGTGTACACAATATTATGTGCCCTCGCCAATACCTGTACCTATAACTATGTACTTATGTATAAGTTCATAGACAAGTCGTTGGTCTCGACCTCCAGCGCACCACTTGAGAACACTCGACTATTACTATCGCAGCACATTGCAATCTCGTTTGCGCATTGTATTTAAGTATATATATCCTCCCTCCCCC